GTAGTAGTAGCAGCAGCAGTAGGAGGAGGAGGAGGAGGAGGGTGCAGGAAGGTAAGGAGGAATAGTAATGATGACAACAATGCAGATGATATAGCAGTGTGCAATTCCCACAGGCATTCGTCCAGGAGTGTCCCACACCTGACTAAACACATTGTTGAGTCGGAAGATGGGCAACTAACTACAATTTCCTGAAAATCGCGCTTCAAGTACGCGCTTATTATAGAAGTAACGTTATATAACTGACAGGCAAGCACGGAAAATCATAGAACGACCAATGCACACACACACACACACGCACACACACCCAGAGTAACAGCAACACCGGGTAGTAAAGCATTGATATAATTTGTATGACATGTGCACACTCAAGACAGCACAATATATAAACAGGTCAGGAAAAAGACATGCTACATGGTGACATGAAACACAATACAAACGGCCACTGCCGCACACTACTTCGTACTCATGATCATAATGATACAACAGGCTTCGGAATGTGCAAGCCGGCACCCAAGTACCCCTCTGCCAGCGACCTCAGTTTGCCGCTCATCTCCAGCGACGGCCGCCGCAGAAGGTCCATAGATGGCTGGCCAACCATTCCTGGAAAGGTGGGAGGGCCGTGTTGCTGAAGGTAGTAATGACCTGTGCGATCGTACCCTGTTGTTAGCTTCGCAATAGTGCAGTCAGTACTGTAGCACCGCTCTTTTTTCTATCTAATTGTTTTTGCTGCTGCTGCTGTATTCCCTGTTCTCAGACAGCAGTAGCAGCAGCAGTGGTGGCCGAAGCTGTATTTGTATCGAAACATGTACCATGTTCTCGGATATCAGCAGTACGGGTGGTCGTCGTCTCGCGGCATTGGCAGTGGCAGCGGGAGTCGTCCTCGTTGTAGTCGTCGTCGTCGCCGAGTAGTAGTAACCCTAAACCCTAAACCCTAAACCCTAAACCCTAAACCCTAAACCCTAAACCCTAAACCCTAAACCCTAGTAGTAGAAGGAGGAACAGCAGGAGCGGTGCCGGTAGTGCGAGTTGTACAGTAGCTGAGCCAGAGGGACTTCGGGGTTCAGGGACTTCAATTTCGGGGTTCAGGAAGGGTTTGAGGTTCGGGGTTCAGTTTTAAGGGTGGGTTTAGGGTTTAGGGTTAAGGGTTTCAGGGTGAGTAAGTGGGTTTAGGGTTTAGGGTTAAGGGTTTCAGGGTGAGTAATCGGTGAGTAAGGCGTGGTTGAGCTCAACCCTCAGCCCTCAACTTTCTTGCACGAGCATTTCAGGGCTGATTCTGCTTCAGATAGGGGCCTTAAACATGTTGATGAAATTTCGGGGTATATTATACTTTCAGCATAAAAGAACCATCAGGGCAGACTATTAGCAACTATTCCGACCTGTATATTCTTAACCCTAAACCCTAACCTCTAAACCCTAACCCGAAACCCAAGACCCCAAACCCAATAGGAGGCCAGACTCAAGAAGCCAAAGAAAATGAAGCGGATGAGCATAGAGCCGGCCAGGTCGTTGCAAAGGCCGAACCTGGGATTAAAAGCTCGTGAGTCCAGCGTAGGGGAAACATCGCTTAGGGCTTTAGGGCTTAGGGCTTGGGGCTTAGGGCTTAGGGTTTAGGGTTTAGGGCTTAGAGCTAAAGGTCACCAAGTCTTTTCCTTGTGTTTTGGGAGTCAGGAGTCATGACTTCTGCTTAACTTCTAGATTTGCTTCGCTTCGCCTGGTGTTGCGCAAGTACCAATCTTCCCATCGACGAAAGCCCTAAGGCACTGGACCGAGGCTTCCGCCCTCCTCATTTCAGGCCCAAAGGAACCCTTGCCAAGCCACAGTACACCGCCCACGATCAGGGCGATCAAGGCGACAGCTAAGACCGGCTGGAAACCAAATCGCGTCGCAACGAAGCCTCAGCTTCGCATCCAGGCTTGCGAGATTTCCTGGACCCTCTACCCGTAACTGTAAAGCCTGAGAAGCTCATAAGTAATCACAATGATTTTGAGTAAGGAAGTAGTAAGTAGTATGCACAAGTAGCGCATACAAAGGTTGGAGGTTAAATCCTTGAAATGATTAAGTGAGAGGTTCAGGCTGGTTTAGGGTCTGAGTTTCAGTGTGCCTTAGCATTCTGAGGATAGGTGGGAGAGTGAATCTTGAGCAGGCAAACTGGTCTGTTTGTTGGCATGTAGGCCCGGAAAACGGAAAGACGTCATCAAACTAAACCCTGATCAGCGACCCCTAAACCCAAGCCGTGGTGATGCTCTAAGGTTGAACCCATGGGCCCCTAGTATGGGCCCTTAACCCTAGGACCCTTATATACCTACTATATACCCTTTTTGTGCCCTTAGGGGACCCTAGAACCCCCTAAAGGCCCCTTTTAGGGGCCCATACTTCTAACCTTGGTGATGCGACATTCCTCCCAAGTTATCCGGAAAACCCCACGCTGTGGATGTCAGCACGCGCCCCAGCACGTTTGCAGATTGGAGCCAGCCAGCAACAAAACCAGCTTCGTTCCTGTCTTTAAGATTATACTATAGTATACTATACTATACTATACTATACTATACTATACTATACTATACTATACTATACTATACTATACTATACTGTCATATAGTCATATATAAGTCTACTGCATACTGTGATATATTTTGACATATTATAATATGTCTTAGTTGATTATAATAGTAGAGAATGGTCTATTTTAGCCCGCTTCGTTCCTGTCTGCCACCCAGTTCAGGTCAGCACTCATCACGGCAGCATAGCCTGTGGCTCATTCGATTGATTCTGGATACCCTACACTGAACCTAGATCGTGGAGCCTCCAATAGTGACTCTAGTTTACAAGTCAATGCCGTGAACAAAGAGCTTGCTGCTATGAAGTCGAACGTGAGAGTATGTCGGGGGTTGTCAAAATTATGGTCCCTTTTTGGGTCCTTATTATAATACGGCACCTATTATTTAGGGTACCCCAAAAGGGACCCTAATTTTGACAACTACCCACAATGTACGCCAAGGATCTGAAGATCGAGCAGACGGTGTAGAAGTGGGTTGCATCCATGCAACAGAGAAAAGCCTCGGTGTGTCTTTACGACTCTGCAGTTTGGTACGCCTGTAACTTAAAAAGACTGCCAAGCGCTAAAGCCAGAGGTGCTCCAAGTTCCGAAGGCGTTCAAGAGATGCCCTAGATTCGAGAGTGATCACTGGACTATCACACTAAATCGTCTGGCAAGAGGCAACTTGAAGCCGCGGCAGGGATTCAGGGGCAGCTTTCGCTGACTTCAACTGTCCGGCGGACCGCATTGCCATGGCAGGGATGGCTTTAGCCCGGTGCCCTCTTTCTGGCTTAGGGTTCAGGGTTTATGGGTTCAGGGGTTTCGGGTTACTTAAAGGATCATGGGACTTAGTAAGTAGGGTTATAACAAAGGTAACTATACTTATAACCCGAATTAGGGGACTTATAACCTTACTTACTAAGTCCCATGGTCCTCCAAGTGAGGGGTTCAGGATTTAGGGGTTTGGGGTTTAGGGACCCTTCTCTGGCTTCGGCGCTACAATGCTTGGGCAGGGTCATGACTTCGTCCAAAGAGCAGGAGCCAGACTGGAAGCTTCGCTGAGGGTTTAGGGTTCAGGGTTTATAAGTCATAGGAAGCTCGGAAGGAATTACGGAACTCCAAACCCTAAACCCCTAAACCCCTAAACCCTGAAAACCCTGAAACCCTTAACCCTAAACCCTAAAACCTATAGGCCCTAAACCTTTTTCTTTTGGGAGGGGCGGGGGTCAGACCCATTAGTCGACTCATCAGGAACCCCCAAGGGTCGAAGTACCGAAGAGTCATCTACTCTCCCAGCCCAGACCGCCGAGGATCCAAAAAGTAGATCCCCTAATTTGGGACCCTAACTTACTAACTACTAAAGGGTACTTTACAGGAACCTCTTTACGGGATCTACTTTCTAGATCCTCCTGGAGGTCTGGGAAAGAGTGGCTTACATAGCTACCATCCGAAACCTAAGTACCTTTAGGGTTTAGGGTTCAAGGGTTTAGGGTACCTAAGTACCTTTAGAGTTTAGGGTTCAAGGGTTTCGGGTACCTGAGTACCTTATTATTGTGTCCTTAGGAACCTTTAAGGAAAGGGCCTTGAACCGCCAACCCGAAGAGCTCAGCTTCCTGGCTTCCAAGGGGTGCACTGCAAGGCGTTAGGTTTAGGGTTTAGGGTTTAGGGTTTAGGGTTTAGGGGTTACCTCGAGAGAAATTGCTGGGCCTGCAGCTGCACAAGGCAACGCAGGGGTTTGGGAATGTAGGGTTACCTAAACCCTAAACCCGAACACAAAGCCCTAGACCCTAAACCCTAAACCCCCAAACCCTGAACCCTAAACCCGAAGCCCTAGATCCTCCCCGATATGGGTATCTGGGGTTTAGGAATGTAAGGTTTTGGGCATTCAGCCCTCTGCGGTCTAGAGACTTGCTTGCTGGAAGGGGTAGACCCTGCCGCGTCCACCCTACAGCGCTAAAGTCCCTAGCATAGCGGCCCGAAGAGTTGGAAGAAGGCTCCGGGAGATATTGCTAGAGGAGCTATAGGCCGATTTGGTTACCTTAATCCCCCAAAAAAAGTAGGTAAACTAACTGTGCGAAACCTATACAGAGCTATGATTCTACATGCTTTTAGGGGTTACTTCTTCCGACCTCCTCCTGACCACTCACTCGTCTTCACGGATCCCCAAAGGCCTCGCCGGGGTCTTCGGGAACAGCGGCGCAGGCTGGATGATCCATCCGGAGGTGCTGGCCTTCTCAGGGTTACCATAGCAAAGGCACAGCAACCCTTACAGTCCCTCTCTTAAAACCCGACCCCTTATAGTAACTAGGTTGGCCCCTCAAAGCCTCTGAAAAATATTCGTAAATTAGATTCTCTTAAGCCCAATTAGGGACAATATAAAATGTCCCAAAGGCCTACCTAGGTAACTCTCACAGCAAGCCTTACTAACCCAGAAAGCCGAAATCCGGATCTACACTTCGCTGCAGGCGGGCTGCAGCACCAAATGGTCTTCTCCACGCTCCAAAGCTCCGGCGAACCGGAAATGCAGGTCAACCTCAGCCAGAAAGCTGCAGAGAACAACAGGGGAGCAGAGCTATCTAGGGTTTAGGGTTTAGGGAGCAGAACTATCTATGGTTTGGGGTTTAGGGAGCAGAACTACCTAGGGTCTAAGGTTTGGGGTTCACAAACAAAAACTCAGCAAATATGCAGATACATGTCTAATCAAGCTTAGGTATGAGGTGAAGACAGGAACAACGATTACGATTGACAAATGCATAACCACGTACATAAGTAAGCTGAGCAATGCACCGATAAAAAACAGCTGCACGACTACAGCGACTTTGATACGAGAGTCGAGGGATGTTGGGAATTAGAATTCGCGACGAATGTGAAATAGGCCCCTTTCCCTGATAGTAGTATGTTGGCCCTTGGGTGTATTAATCAGGGGTCTATATTGAATTCTTTGTTGTCTGTAGATTCGAAGGCAGATATTGCTTCCAACCTAGTTTAGGGCCCAGGGTTTAGGGTTTGGGGCGGTTTAGAGTTTAGGGTCCGCTTCGCCACCGCTGACGAAGCTAGGGTCCCTAGGATGTGTTTAGCTTGTAGCTCAGAGTGATACAGTGTTGCGAGGATGCCACAGGAATCATGTTCCTGATTCTTGATTCTTCTGCTGGGAGGTGTAAAAAATTACACTACACCCGGAACCGTGAACCCTAAACCCTAAACCCCAAACCCTAAACCCTAAACCCTGAACCCTAAACCCTAAATAGGCGTTTGAACAGTTGCCACTTGGAGGCTTGGCCGGAGACTTGCGGCACGGCCAGTGAAGTCGCGGGTGGTATCGTATTGCCGGTCATGTGCAGTTGCAATGCTAAGTTTACGCATTATCGGGGTAATAATGATAATAGGGTTTTGGGGAGTTTTGGGGTATATTATACTTATACTATGATTACATTACGGAGCCCCCCAGAATAGTATTGGCCCCTACATTACTGTACCTGCAGGTTCCGGCGATGAGCTGCAGACTTATGACAACGAGCCAGGAGCGGTTGAGGAAAACTACGGTTAAGATTCCGGGTTCAGGGTTTAGGGCTTTAGGGTTTAGGTTTTAGGGTTTAGGGTTTTAGATTTAGGGTTTAGGAGCAGACAGCGACAACAACATTACATTGCAAGTTGAATGATGGTCTCGGGCATTGGCAAGGGATGAAGACGTCACTCAATCCAAACATGTGCAGCTTCAAGCAGCATGAATACGACTACGATGCAACCGACAGCAGACACAGGTGTAACTCTGAGTTTTGAACTCCAAACCCCTGCCCCAAACCGTAAACCCCTGAACCCTGAACCCTAAACCCTGAACCCTATCAAAAAAAAACCCTGAACCCTAAACCCTACCCCCTCAACCCTAACCCCCGAAATCCGTCTCCCTATAAATAAACCCTGAAACCCTAAACCCTAAGCCCTCAACCCCAACCCCCGAAATCCTTCTCCGAGCTGCTTTGTGAATGGGCAAGCCACATGGTGACCTGCAGCGCGCTTCCATTAGGCCACGGAAAAGTTTTGGGGTAGTTTAAAGTTAGGGTTTAGGGTTTAGGGTTTAGGGCTTGAAGTTTAAAGGACCTCTATTTTAGGAGAATGAGGGCGCATCCCAACTTGCCAACACTTGCCAACTATAAACACAACTTCCGAGCCTGACCCTTAACCTTAACATCGTCGAGTCTGAGACCCAGAAGACCTAAACCCTCACCCTAAGGGTCCAGCCTTAAGGTAGTCCCTACATTGGTACTTTGGGGCCAAAGTATATACTATTCGGGTAATGCAGGGGCCTAAATAATTACCTATATTATTTTGGGGGTTCCTTATTGCAATTATAGTCTAATATACCCCAAAACCCTATTCTAATTCTTAAGGCCCCAATATTACTATTTTTGGGGTTCCTTATTGTAATTATAGGCCCCAAAACACCATTCTAATTACTAAGGCCCCTCTATTACTTGGACCCTTAGGGTCAAACCCCGAACCCTCAAACCCGAACCTCAAGGCCCTGCACTCTCCTACATAAAACGGAAAACAAGGCGAGACCATGACTAAATCTTCGACCGTAATAGTATATAAGGGCCTTATTTGGAGGCCCAGGGGACTTAGTAAGTCGGTTATAAGTAGGGTTTTAATTGGGGTAACTCCGTTTAGGGTACTTATAACTCTACTTATAACCTACTTACTAAGTCCCCTGGGCCTCCAAGTAATAATTAGAATAGGGTCTGGGAGTATACTCTGCTGTAGTTATAAAAAAGACACCCCCCCTCAAACAACAAATACTGGTAATTATTGAGGCCCCTATACATAATAGACCTCCAGCCCAAACCATAATCACACATAGAGTTAACCCCAGAACGTAGGAACATGAATTGTTCCCGAGGCCAACTTTCCGACTTTTACTCTACAGGTTAGGAATTAGGATTAGGGGGACCCTTGGGGATTTTGACCCCCTCAATAAGGTTCCTTTTAAGAGAGCCATAAGTAGAAGTTAAGAAGGGTCCCCTTTAAGGGGTCTCCCTACTACTACTTAGGAAAGGATTTAGGGTTAAACGACGCGTCCAGGGCACGCTGGCAGCAGAATTCCTTCTTCGCCTCGGAGAATCCCCGCTGCCAGTTCGCTAGACCTGGGCTGACGGTTTGCTGGATTAGCTGTGAGCTGAAGAACTGTATCGGTGTTGTAGCATGATAGATATTTCAGGTTTTGTCGGGGTGCTTCTTGAAATTAGGGGTCCCGTCTTAGGGGTTTGCATGGGAAGGTTATGTTATAGCTCCACTCGGTGAGAGGCATCCTTCTTAGGGTTTAGGGCTCCGGGTTTGGAAGTATCTTTGCAAGCAGGAGGAATAGTTGCGAACAGTATCACCCTTTCATGGCTCCTTCAAGGGTTTAAGGCGCTTACTTATACGGGTTTTGTGGGGCTTGATAAGGGCTTAGGAATAATGAGTAATACGGTTGATGACGCAATATTAAGGCATATACCATAAGTCCCTTAGTTTAGGGCCCTTAAAGGTAATGCAGGATTTCTACAGGAATATACCATAATTCCCTCAGTTTAGGGCCCTTAAAGGTAATGCAGGATTTCTATCATCAACCGTAGTATCCCCTCACCCTAAGGGTCCATGTGCCCAAATAGTAGGTATTTTGGCACCGAAGTACCCAGATAGGGACTACTTTAACGCCAAAAGTATCTACCTACTTGGGTACATGGACCCTTACCCTTAGCATCAAAACAGCCCAAAAGCCTTATATAATAGGGTCTTTGGGCCCAAAAACCTTAATATATGAGTCCTTCGAGGGTAAGGGTTAGGGTTATCGCAGGCCCAGACACCGTCGGCACAGTCAAACTCCTCATCCGGCTCCGTCGGTTCCTTGGAGAGCTCCTCCTCCGCCTCCGCCTCCTCCTCTTCCTCGGTGGCCGTCAAGGAACAGAGTTGGAGTTAGCATTTTGAGGTATAGTCATATAATTAGTCGCTGATTTATGGTAAATTATGGTAAGTTAATGAAAGTCAACTCAAGAAATCCTCAACAAAACCCAGCTTCCTCCTCCTCTTGCTCCCTGTGCTGGGCCTCTTGGACAGCCTCCTGCATTTTCTGGAGTGGCGTCTCGTCGTTCCCTTCGGCACAGGCGACCCCTTTGAAAACGCAACACCACAGCGCATGCATTTCCGTCCATTTCTGCTTCCACTCAGAAAGACCGGACGAACAGTCGTACTGCGTGGGGCTGAAAGTCGGACAGCCTATTCGTTTCTCCTCGCAGCACCACTCTCGTTTCGTATGAGACCAAACTTCCTCCGATTGGCAGTCGAAAGGCTCGGCACTCTTGACAGGATCGACCTCCGAACAGCCTGACTCTTTGTTCGAGCAGCACCACTTCTGCTTCGCTTCGGACCAGTGCTCCACAGGGTCCACATTGCAATCGAAGGGTTCGGATTCAACGGGGCTGTCCTCAAGAGCAACATCCTGCTTCGCGCAGCCCAGTTGCTTGTTCGAGCAGCACCACTGCTTCTTGGCTTCGGACCAGTGTTCCACAGGGTCCACATTGCAATCGAAGGGTTCAGATTCAGCGGGGCTGTCCTCAAGAGCCACGTCCTGTTTCGCGCAGCCCAGCTGCTTGTTCGAGCAGCACCACTTCTGCTTCGCTTCGGACCAGTGTTCCACAGGGTCCACATTGCAATCGAAGGGTTCAGATTCAACGGGGCTGTCCTCAAGAGCCACGTCCTGTTTCGCGCAGCCCAGTTGCTTGTTCGAGCAGCACCACTTCTGCTTCGCTTCGGACCAGTGTTCCACAGGGTCCACATTGCAATCGAAGGGTTCAGATTCAACAGGACTGTCCCCGTGAAGGACGCCTTCTGCGGCGCAGCCCAGCTGTTTGTTCGAGCAGCACCACTGTTTCTTCGCATCGGACCAGTGTTCCACGAGGTCCACTTTGCAGTCGAAGGGCTCAGAAACTTCTTTGGAATCGACTGCCGCACAGCCCAGTTGCTTCTGCGAGCAACACCACTGCTTCTTTGCTTCCGACCAGTGCTCCACAGGGTCCACATTGCAATCGAAGGGTTCAGATTCAACGGGGTTGTCCTCAAGAGCTACATCCTGCTTCGCGCAGCCCAGTTGCTTGTTCGAGCAGCACCACTGCTTCTTCGTTTCGGACCAGTGTTCCACAGGGTCCACTTGGCAATCATAGTCTTCGTTCGTCACGTTCCGGGCTTGTCCACCCTGAGCACTTCGCTTTCATGCTGCGCGGGACGCCGGAAATATCTCCAAACCCATTCTAATTATTATTAAGGCCCCTATGCCCTAAACCCTTATAGTAGCCCTTTTAGAACCCTTTTAGAACCCTTTAAGGAGCCCTTTAAGGGAACCCACAAACCCTATTCTACTTATTAAGGCCCCTAAACCCTAAACCCTTTATATTACCTAGGACCTCATGCTTGGGGCTGGGGTTGTAGGGTTGAGAGAGAGTCCTCAGAGTCGCCAAGGCAGTGCCACGAGACGCCCAGAAAAAGCAGCAGCCGCCTAGGGTTTGGGGGCTTAGTGTTTGAGGTTTAGGGTTTAGGGGGTTTGGGGCTCAAGGGCTTTGTTTTCTTTACGGGCTTTGAGGTTTCAGGGTTTAGGGCTTGGGGGGTTTAGGGTTTAAGGGTTCAGGGTTTAGGGGGTTTAGGGTTTAATCGTTTAGAGTTTAGGGGGTTGAGGCTAGGATTTAAGGGTTTAGGGTTCCTGGACCAAACACAGAAGAGGTTCCGGCAGACTTTCGGCTGTGTGCTGTGGCGTTTAGGGCAGTTTAGGGTTGCGGCGTTGGGGCTTCGGGTCAAGAAAGGCCGGACTCGGCAGGACATAGGATTCATGGCTGGCGAATAAGCCTCTTGGAGTGGAGTCCCACCCTAAACCCTAAACCCCTAAACCCTAAACTTAAACCCTAAACCCTAAACCCTAAACCCTAAACCCTAAACCCCTAAACCGTTAAACCCTAAACCCGAATTATTAAGCTGGGGATTTGGGAGCCTTCATCAGGCTCTTGCCTTGCCTCAATTGTTTAGGGTTTAGGGTTTTAGGGTTTAGGGTTTAGGGTTTAGGGTTTAGGGTTAAGGTTTTTAGCTAACCCTAAACCTTCCAGCGTGTTAAGGGTTATGCGGGTTCACAGAGTCTCCCGAAACCTCTTGAGCAGCGCATCTTCTTATAGGAATACTCAGTGACAGACCCTGCGTTCGCTACGTACCACCGGCCACGCAAACTACGTACATGAGTGTGTAGGTACGCATGTGGGTATGTATGTACACAATTATATCTGCTTGGAGGCCCTGCCCGCCTGCCTGTCTCTCTCTCTCTCTCTCTCTCTCTCTCTCTCTCTCTCTCTGGCTGCCTGTATGTATGCATGTACACAGATAGAGGGATGGATGGAGAGATAGGTAGAGAGAGAGGGCAACTCACTGGCCCAAAACCCAAGGANNAATCGACTACCTTATAAGAACCCCAAAAGTTGAAAAGTTCAGTTTACAGCCAATAAGGCAAAGAGAGACTTTCGTTGCAAACTCTGCTGCCTATGACTATCGCAGACAGCTGAAGGAACTGTAGGGAAGATGCTCGAAATAGGGACTCCGGATTAGTGGGTGTATAAGTTGGGGTTTATGGCCGGGGCTTAGGGTTCTTGGGGACTAGGTTGCTTTAGGGTTTACGGCTAGTCATCAGGGTTGTTATAGGGCGGATCTAGGGTCTTGGGTTTTACCTATAGTCTCTATTGTAGTTCCTTTTTGGGGTTACCATATAGGATCCTTAATACAAAAATGGTTCAACCAGAAAAAGGAGCTACAATGGAGACCATAGGTAGGTTGTTCTAGGGCTTACGGCGAGTCATCAGGGTTGTTTTAGGGCGCATCTAGGGTCTTGGGTTTTAGTGCCTTCAGGGTTGAAGGGTTTAGGGTTTAGGGTTTAGGGTTTAGGGTTTCAGGTATCAAGGTTATTCTGAGGGACTTGCGGCTCAGGTCTCAGGGATGACGGTTTGACAGTAAGCTTTGGGCGTAGGGGTATTTAGGGTTTAGCTGTTTCGGGAACCATACTACCAGTAGAGGGGCCTTGACAAGTCCAGTTGGGGGCCTTGGGCTATAACTAGATGGCTGTATCATAGTATACTTGTATAGGGGCTGTTGAAGTTCCTAAACCCTAAACCCAAACCCAAAACTCAAAACCCTAAACCCAAAACCCTAAACCCAAAACCCAAAACCCAAAACCCTAAACCCTAAACCCTAAACCCAAAACCCAAAACTACCCTAAACCCCGAATCGTTCCGACCTTCCTGGTCTTTGGGGGGCTGTCGGAAGTGCTTCGTTTGTGGAGCTGTCGGACGTGTTGTGAAGTAAGGCTTCAGGGAGACTTGAAAAGGCATCGGCTGTTTTGTGCTAAGCTAGAAGGCTTCGTGAACGATAGTGATGTCTGTAGAGGTTGAGGCTTTTCTCGACGGGTTCTCGGATCAAATTTGTGTTTGGGACGCAAAACCCTAAACCCTAAACCCGTTCATTTCAGTGTTGTATGGTTGCTTAGCGAGGACTCCAGGGCGCTTGCTCATGTCAAACACTGGCGGACTTATCTTCAGAGTCAAGAGCCCTTAAACCGTAAACCCTAAGCCTTAAACCCTAAACCCTAAACCCTAAGCCCTAAACCTTAAACCCTAAACCGCCTAAAGCTTAGACCCTGACCCCCAACCCTCTAAACCCTCCAGCCGGACACAAACCTCACAACCCGGTCAATCTAGTTCATGCCGCTTTACCCATAGGCCCTAAAGTAGTTCCTTCTTGGGGTTCATATATAGAATCCTATAAGGTAACCCCAAAAAGGAACTACTATGGGGCCCATGGGTAGGCCATGCTAGTATCCCGCTCGAGCGAGCCCGACAACACATGTCTACCACCTGTAGCATCCCCGTGGTACTGGGACACCCCGAGGCCGAACGCCCGCAAGGACCGACTTCTTCGGTGGGTTCAGGGTGCAAGGTTAGGGTTTAGGGTTTAGGGTTTAGGGTTCAGGGTTTAGGGTTTAGGGTTTAGGGTTTAGGGTTTCAGGGTTCAAGGGGGTGATAAGGGTGTGTGGGGTGTAGCACCTCTGTCCACTATTGCTCCCCGCCTATGCCCTAGACCGTTATTATTGTTCAGCAGAGAGGAGGGCCTAAATGAGCAAAGTGGCCACCAACGTCTCTGTTGTCGTAGGTGCGGCATGGGTGGGCTCAGCTATTGCCGAGTTTGCTCTCGCTCAGACGAGCTAAGCAGTCTAAGCGGTAACTGTTCTGCGGGGGCTCAGCTTAAAGGCATGAGAGGGAAAGGGAGTTCAGGCTCTTTAAATAAGATCCCTGACTCAGAGAATGTGATTGGGATTTGTTGTTCCGGATTGGCTTGGGTGGTCGTCGCCGGAAGCTTGGGTCTGTGAAATACTCGAAAGCCAATTACTGCTGGGCGTTTTGAGTTGAGCGGAGTCTCTCAAGGATGCGACTCAGACGAATGAAAGACAACCCTCCTACGGCAATGACCATGGAGGTAAGTAAAGCCTCAGGAATCTCTGCCGCCACAAGTCCAACATGCTGCAAGTTTTGATGCTTCTTTTGAACCATTTAAAACCTGCGGATGTCATGAGCTGACGATAGGTCTCGAAAGCCGCACATCATCAACCAGAAGCAACCCGGGAGCGCAGGCTCAGGAGAACACATCCTCCCACGACCGGCCCCAGAGCAAGAATGCAAGCGCATGGCAGGGCAGGCAACTCAGCAATGATGGCGGAACTATCGGAAGCTCCGCTCGTGTTCTGAGGAAAGGTGACAGGAGCGATAATGATGATTACGACCTTTAGGTAGAGCCTACCAGGATGAAACAAGCCGTCCTCCTTCAATTGAGCAAAAAGTACCTATACGTAGTCTCCATTGTAGTTCCTTCTTGGGGTTAGCTTCCAGGATCCTAAATATGGAACTTGGCTAAACCAAAAAAACGAACTACATCGGAGACTATAGGTAGTTCTCAGCGCCGGCAAGAAGATTCATTACTGCACACTCAATGACTCAAGCCCGAAGACTCACTGGTGAAGTCTTTATTTAGGGCTTAGGGTTTAGGGTTTAGATAGCAAGATGTGTTTGTTGCTACTGCACGCCACATCTGTGTTGCAAATCTTGTTTCGCGGCGGCTGGGCCAATACCGCTCTGAAGAGTATTCTCAAGAAGCCCTAAACCCCTAAACCTCTACGCTCTAGGCCCAAATTAAACCCTAAAGCCCTAAACCCTAAAGCCCTAAACCCTAAACCTCTACACTCGAGGCCCAAATTAAACCCTCAACCCGAAACCCTAAAACCCTAAAGCCCTAAACCCTAAACCTCTAATCTCTAGGCCCAAATTAAACCCTCAACCCAAAACCCTAAAGCCCTAAACCCCTAAACCTCTAAACTCTAGGCCCAGATACCCTAAACCCTAAACCTCTACACTCGAGGCCCAAGTTAAACCCTCAACCCAAAACCCTAAAGCCCTAAACCCTAAACCTCTAATCTCTAGGCCCAAATTAAACCCTCAAACCAACACCCGAAAGGACTGGAGGCCGAGGCCAAAGCTGATAGCGTCGACTACGGCTTGGGATGTCAGGTGTAGGGGCAGGGTTTAGGGTGTAGGGGCAGGGGGTAGCGGTATAGGATGTAGGGTGCAGTGTTCAAGGATAATAACGAAAGCCTTGTGGGCTGCCAGGATTACATTGAACTTGCTCTGCTCTAGGATTATTTGTTAGCGTGCGCCTTGAGATTTGTCTGATGTGGAACTCTTCAACCCTTTCCTGGGTGTGTGCTCCCTGAGGACTTGCAAAACTCACCACCGCCTTCAGCACATATCAACATATGAGAGTTAATCGAACCACAAACCTTATTGAACATTCACGCGCCTGCCCTCCTTCGCCTAGCGGACGACAGCCTTGCCTGGAAAGGCTTGCGGAAAGTTGAGCGGTGTAAAGCTTACAGGATTACTGGTTTCCTGTTGGGGTTATATTAA